ATAAATAAGCAATTGTAGATTTATGCTTTACAATAAATAAGAAAAACACAAAAACACCTCAGGAGTTATCAGAATTGACTCCTCCCACCTAACTTGGAATTACCCACTGACAGCCAGCTGGTGGCCTGGTGCTTCTTGCAGGTCATTGAACACCAAATAGCCAGCAGGAGCACCAGTGTCAAACACTTTTCCCACTGGCTGGAAAGGCTATAAGCAGTTAGCAGTCCATGGTTGCTTGCCTCTGAGGATACTCAGTGAGATTTCTGCATGCTATCTTTGAAAAGAGTTAGTTACATTATGTCTGTAGACTCAGGAAAAGAAAGGTGAAATTATCACTAGTTCTCTTTCAGATTTCATCACTTGTTCAAGTGATTAAAGCACTTACACAGGATTAGCTGATACCTTGTCCAGAAGCTACCCTGTTTCCCCGAAAAGTGTCTTATATTAATTTTTGCTCCCAAAGATGTGCTAGGTCTTATTTTCAGGGGATGTCTTATTTTTCCATGAAGAAGAATATGGTACACATTTATTGTTAAAAGAAAATAAAGGAAATTTATTACCTGTATACGGTACGGTGATACAGTAGTTGTCAACACAAACCAGACAAACTGTGAATCCTACAGTATCAAGAGTTTACTCATTTATTCAATGACAATCATGTCATCATCTTCTGGAACATCATCATAACAATGCAATTCCTGAATTTCCTGGTGAATTTCTTGTGACTCCATTTCTTTCAGAATCAGTGGACCAAATTTCTCATGTTTAGCAATAGCATTCTAAGACAGAGCCTGGGAGGGGCCTTATTTTTGGGGGGATGCCTTATATTTCATTCAGAAGGAAACCTGTAAGTAGGTCTTATTTTCGGAGGATGTTTTATTTTCGGGGAAACATAGTAAATGTATACATTTAGAAGTGTACTGAATCAATCCATCTTGGCTTATTTTAATGTGGTGATTAATAATTGTTCATTTAAGAAAATAAGAAATCTGAGACAAATGGTAAACTGGATGGGATACTAGGACAGCATATTGTAAATCAAGACCTTCTTGAGCAAACCATGGCTTATGGGAAAGCAGCATGCTGTTGTGAAAGAGCATGGAGCTGGAAGTGGGACAGACCTGCATTTAAGTCCAGTCTCTGTCTTTTAAAAGCTTGGACAAGTAACTTCTTTGAGACTAGTTATATCGATATTAGGGTTCAACGGAGACAGCAGGGAATAAATACACAGGCACACAGGTGCGCGCGCACACACACACACACACACACACACACACACTGATTGGTTTGAAGGAATTGGCTCATGTGGAAGCTGGTAAGTCCTAAATCTTCAGGGTATCCAGCAGGGACCTAGGGAAGAATTAATGTTGAGAGTCTGAAGGCATTCTGGAGACAGAATGCCTTCTTCCTCAGGGAACCTCATTCTTTCCTCTTAAGACTTTCAACTGATTGGATGATGCCTACCCACATTATGGAAAGTAATTTGCTTTACTCAGAGTCTACTGATTTAAATATTAACCACATCTTAAAAAATACCTTTACAGTAACATCTAGACTGGTATTTGATCAAATAACTGGTTACTTTAGCCTAGCCAAATTGACACATATAATTAGCCTTCCTATTAAGTTTCCTCATTTGCAAACTAGGATGATAATATGTGGCTCACAAGGATTAAGTGTGGGAGTATTTATAAAGTACTTTGCATAATATGTTCTCAAAGTAGGCACTCAGTGAATGTTGGTTTCTTAATCCAATCTTGTACCCATTAAGACCATAGGCCATGTTGAAAAAAAAAAAAAAAAAGATTATGGGCCCGATCTTGATGCTTAAAAATATTCTTCTCTATTTATCTTTGTATTTCTAAGTTTTTCCTGCCCCCTTATCTGTTAAATAAGCCCTGACAAATCCATCTTATAAACTTTTCTTCAAAGCATATCTTTCTTTTTTGCTATTGCCAGTGTTTGGGTCCTACCCTGGGCCATTAAATTTATTTCCTAAGTAGCAGTCTACATTCCATTGTACTCTTCCTTTTCACATATAACTATTCACCTAGAACTAACACTAATAACTCTTGAATTTGTCCCCTTTTTCCACCCTCCTTTTCCTTATTTTTACCATGCAGCTGAAGTCCTTCATAAGTTGTCTGAAACAAAACTTTACAACCTTATCTTTACTTTGTTCCACTATTCAGAACTCCTTGTGATTCTTTTCAACATAATTGAGCTTTCTGTTGCATCCATGCTTTTGTTGCATGCTAGTACCTGTGTATAGAATCACCCTCTCCCCCCCCTCATACTTCAAATTCCTGCACCAATATCACCCTCATGAAGCCTTCCTAGACTCCCTTCCTGGTTCCAGATCATTCCTACACATTCATGTATAAGTGAACCTGAGCCTTCAAACACTGATACTCCTAAACTGCCTTTCAGATGAGATGATAAGTCTGTTCATCAGCTGACCAAGGAACCCTTTGAACTGTGGTATAAAGCATTTCAGATCTGGTGATAGTATCATTTTTTTGTACATCCATTTTATTATTCTACTAGAGGCCCGGGGCACGAAATTTGTGCACCGGGGGTGGGGGGATCCTAAGTCCGACCTGTACCCTCTCCTATCTGGGAGCCCTTGGGGAATGTCCAATTGCCAGTTTAGGTGGGATGGGGCCTAAACTGGCAGTTGGACATCCCTCTCACAATCCAGGACCTCTGGCTCCTAATTGCTCACCTGCCTGCCTGCCCTAACCACTCTGTCTGTTGGCCTGATCCCTCTAACTGTTCTTCCCTGCTGGTCTGAGCCCCCTAATTGCCCTCCCCTGTCATCCTGGTCACCCCAATTAACTTTTTAAAAAATCTTATCCCCTTTGCACGCAATTGTATTTGACTTCCTTATTGGCTTCTCCCTCTCACACAATTTTCTCTCTCCTTAACACTTTTTCCTACTGACTCTTCATTTATAAACTTTTCTTTCCTCCTCATTTCCTACCTGTTCCATTATCCTTCTTCTCATCTTTCTCCTACGCTCCATCCCTGACCACATTCCTTCTTTCCTTTATCTTTACCTCTGTCCACCCTCCCCTTTTCCTTCCTTCCTACATTAATTTTTTTCTTCACTTCCTCCCTAGGACCTGCTTTGCTCCCTCCCCTATTTCTTCCTTCTTCCCATTCTCCTTTTAAGCTCTACCAGCTCCCCTTTAAAACTTTTCTTCCATTCCTCTTTCTCTCTCATTTGACCTTTCCCATATATTCTTCTCTACTTACTTCTTTACTTACTTTAATATCTATCTACCTGCCTAATTATTCACTATCATTTATCTTTTTTCTTTTCTGACTCTACTTTTAAAATCTGTACCCAGTACACAACTATACTTGATTTTCGTTATAGCTGCTACAGTTCACTCATACATCCTCTTTCCTTCTTTAATTCTGCTCTCTACTGACTCCTTTACGAAGTTCTTCCCTCCTTCCCTTCTTCCTCATCCTCCCCCCTCTTCCCTCACTTTTTTACTCTTTTTACAGGCTAATTAAAAATTTCTATGCTTTTTGTCCTGTCTTAGTACTGAATTCATGCCTCTCTGGGACCCGCAGCCACTTCTGTTTGGGCACTGGGGCCCCTCTCACCAGCTTTGAGGGGCTGAGCAAGGACGCAGCCTGCCGTGTCTTGCCTACCGTGGCCCAGGCTTTTCTCCCATTGAGTGCTTAAGTGGGGGTACCCGGAGGCCTTTCCCACCCTCTTCCCCCTCCTTTCTCCCCTCCCCCTCCTCCCTCCTCATGCTTAGAGCGGCTCTCTGCTTGTTTCCATTGTGGTCCAGCTTGTCCTCGGGGTTGTTCCGCCCAGGATGCAAGCCCCCGTCCGGGTCGGAGTGGGCAGATGAATGGATGGACGGCTGGAGAAAGCCGGGGTGGCTTCCCTGTGGTGTGAGGGTCGCCTGTGGTCTTTAAGGTGGCGGCGGGGCGGGTCTGTGCGGCATGAGGAGGCTTTAAAGTTGTCCTCTTGGAAGGCTCAACCGGCGACCCGGATATCGCCGTGCCGCCCTGTGTGTCCGTGGCGGTGGGATCCCCATGTTGTTTACCTGGTGGCCAGTCCAGGTCCCGTGCCTTACCTCGACGTCCACTCTGTCGTCGTGCCTGGGCCCTTTCTTTGTGTTGGGTCCACACCCTTTCGCTTTGCATGCACGACCCCTCCTGGGGGGTCACCGCCAACACGTACATCCCCCAATTGGAGCCTGCCCACTGCCCCCAAGAACCGGCCTTCTGCCATGTGGGTGTCGCCCCTTGGCGCCCCCCGCACTTGGGGGGTTGGTGGCAACCCCGGGCAGAGTGCTCTCGTTCAGGGCGCAGTGTTGCGGGGGTGTTTGTCAGGCGGAGAAAAAGAGGACTCGGAGCGGACAGGGGAGCGAGCCTCACGCACAGCCTCCTGCTGGTCTGTCAATATGCAAATTGGTCGTTACTGTGACATCCCTCTCACAATCCAGGACCTCCGACTCCTAATTGCTCACCTGCCTGCCTGCCCTAACCCCCCGGGGGTGGGGGGATCCTAAGCCAGACCTGTACCCTCTCCTATCTGGGAGCCCTTGGGGAATGGCCAATTTGCATATTGTCTTTATTATGTAGAAGATTGAAGTGGTTTTTGAATTGTATTTATAGGTACTTTGGGCACTTGATTATAGGGTGACTGCTTAAGGCTTTGGGCCATTCAACTGTCTTTAAACATTTCACCCCTAATTTATATGTTGGGTTTTGGATAAAATTTTGTATGAGGAAAAGAGTTTTGATGTCAAGAATAATTTAATTCTTGTTTTATTTCTTGTATCTGATTCGTAGTAATCTATATATAGCTGTCTTTGTTCACTCCCATTTTCCTACCAAAAGAAACAAAACTAACTTTTTGAAATTAAGGATATTTTAATCCTGTTTATCTTTACTTTTCCAAATATTTATTGAATGAATGCAAACATATTAATAATAATGGAATAGAATTTAATTTCTATTTTTTATTTTAGTTATCAAGTGGGAATCCTACATATGAAAAATACTATAGACAGGTAAGATTTTTGTTTGTCTTCTTAGATTGAACATAAAATATACTTTCACCCTCAATTGTATACATGCAGACTATGAGTCAGCTGGATAAATTTGACATGTCTTGTTTTCAACTTTTTGTGCCTTTGCCTCATGTTTTGAGTACTTAATACTTTTTAAAAGCTCTCAGAAATGAAGGAAAGATAATTAAGGCCAAACACTTAATTGTCTCAAATATTTATGTATCTTAAAAATCCATATAACATTAGATGCACTCATCCCAATATAAATATCCAAAATAATATAAGTTAAATGGAAATGACTTATAGTTGATTTTAAGACTTGTTAAGGTTTTTAATATTTATAAAGTTAAAACCATGACTCATACAAATATAAAATGAACATGTGTCAAGGATTTTATTCAACTCAATTACTGGGATAACTAGTAAAATGTAAAAATGAGAATATGAGTTATAGACATTTATATTCTTCAGACAAAATTCATTTCATTGATATGGAGAAGATTCACTTGCATTGCTATCAATTTTATAATAATTAAACCAGTATCCCTACAGAGTGTAAAATAGCCTAGTTGATGGAAAGTCAATCTAGAGTACATACCATAGATCAGATAATCTCTTGAGGGTGTAGACAATCTCATTTGCCCACTACCAAATATTGGGTAATTTTTCCTAATAATCCTCTCACCTTTAGATCATAATCACCGAAAAGATTGGTCTCTATATTTGACCTGGCTATTTACATAGTTAGAGCAAACATTAATGGGAGACTCTTTCCCCCTCCCCACATGGGAGTCTGTGCTGTGAGATTCTTTCCCCTTTACCACGTGGTAGTCTGTACTTAATTCTTCAATAAATCTCCTCCTTTGTTATAAACAAACAAACAAACAAACACATTGATGAACCATTATAGATCTCCTTGTGTGTGACTTGCAAATCTAGAGCCATACATTCATTATTTAACAACTACTAAGGCCAGAGATTAATTTCTTCTTAAAATTTTTAAAGAATCTCAGATTGTACTTTATAAAGCCTCTTTATTTGTTCCTCAATTTTGAGGCTAGGCTCCCAACCTTAGAAATTCTACCCCCATATTTCACCAGCAATACATACAAGTTTGAGTGAATTTATCTTATCTTGAGGTTTCCCATATCTGCTCAAGTTCCTATGTGTGAGGTGACATTGCTTTATTCTCTAAGAAACCGGCACCTTATAAATCAAGTTGCAGGCCATTTTACTTGGGAGGACTCTGTAGACATTGACTTCACATAGAGTCACTTTTTGTTCCTTTTTAAAAAAAAGATTTATTAATTTCAGAGAGAAAGGGAGAAGGAGAGATAGAAACATCAATGATGAGAGAGAACCATTGATGAGCTGCCTTCTGCACGCCCCCTCCTGGGGATCGAGCTCGCAACCTAGGCATGTGCCCTTGGCCAGAAGTGAACCCAGGACTCTCCAGTCCAAAGGTTGATGCTTTATCTACTGAGCCAAGGTGGCTAGAGTCACTTCTTGTTCCTTAATAGTGGCTTGTTCTGTCTGAATAAAATATGGTCTTGTTTTGTACAATCAAATTACTCAATTATATCCTGATAATAAGGAGACCAAATTTTTATTTAAACTATGTAAAAATTACTCTATTGCCATAAAAAGTAAGGATATTCACTTAAAGGATTTATAAAATACACTAGAGGCCTGGTGCATGAAATTCATACACTTGGGGGTAGTCCCTCAGCCCAGCCTGTACCTTCTCACAGTCCAGGAGCCCTCAGGAGATGTCTGATTGATGGCGTAGGCCTGCTCCCATGGAAAGCGGGTCTACGCCATCAGTTAGACATCCTTAGCGCTTCCACGGAGGTTGGAGAGCCCCATACCACCGCTGCTGCACTAGCCAGCCATCTTCTGGCTGAGTGGCGCTCCCCATGTGGGAGCACACTGACCACCAGGGAGCAGCTCCTGCATTGACCGTCTGCCCCCTGGTGATCAGTGCACATCATAGCTACTGGTCGTTCTGCAGTTAGGCTGAAGTTGGCTCTCTGACATTACCGAGGGGTCCCAGATTGCTAGAGGGCGCATGCCAGGCTGAGGGATCCCCACTGGTACACGATTGGGGCTGGGGAGGGATGCGAGAGGTTGGCCAGCTGGGGTGGGACCACGAGAGGGCTCCAGGGTATGTCTGGCCTGTCTCGCTCAGTCCTAATCATCTGGACCCCAACTGTAAGCAACCTACTGGTCGAAGCATCTGCCCCCAGTGGTCAGTACACATCACGCAACTGGTCGCCCAGTCAGCTGTCTGCCCCCTGGTAGTCAGTGCATGTCACAGGGAGTGGTTGAGTGGCCTTAGCATATTATGCTTTGATTGGTTGAACAGATGACTAGACAACCGGACAACCAGACACTTAGCATATTAGCTTTTTATTATATAGAATATGTTTTTCTTGATTTGCGATAGAGAGAGAGGATTGGAGACAGGGGAGAAGGTGCGTGGAGAGAGAGAGAAAATTCGATGTGAGAGAGAAATACTTCTTGGCTGCCTCCTGTAGGTCCCCTACTGGGGATCCAACCCACAACCTGGACCTGTGTCCTGACTTGGAATCAGCTGGTGACCTTTCAATGCACTGGACAACGCCTAACTGAGCCACACATCCAACTGAGCCACACCGGCCTGGGCAAAGGATTTATTTTTGAATTCTGAAGAGTCAGTGAAATCAGATACCATTGAAAACTATTTCATTAACTTTACAAACACAGAGCCTATTAAATTGAGGGTTAGAGATAGTGTAAGAAGCGGGGGGAAAGGGCACTTTCCCATATATCCATTACAAAATACAATATTAAAAATAATGCCAACAGTGTTTCAAGTAAATAACCATAATTGCATTTTTCTCACCAATTCATTCAGTCCTATATAATTCTTGTTCTTCCTCATCTTGGGTTAGGGGTCTGCTTTTATAAAATACTAGAGGCCTGGTGCACAAAATTTGTGTACGGGAGGGAGATCCCCCCAGCCCAGCCTGCACCCTTTCTAATCTGGGACCCATCCCTTTCACAATCCAGGGACTCTGGCTCCTAACTGTTCACCTGCCTGCCTGCCTGATCTTCCCTAATTGCCCCCCTGCCAGCCTGATCACCCCTAACTGTCCACCCTGCCAGCCTGATCACTCCTAACTGCCTCTGCCTGCTGGCCTGATTGCCCCTAACTGCCCCCCCTGCTGGCCTGGTCACCTCCGTCTGCCCCCCTACTGGCCTGGTCGCCAAGGGCTTTTCTCTCCCCTCCCCTTGTCGGCCCCTTATTGCCACCTCCGGTGACCTAGTTGCCCCACACAACCTGCTGTTCGGTTGTTTGGTCGCCTCTCACCACCCCCTGCCGGCTTGGTCACCCCATGCAGCCTGTCACTATCCCGCCTGCCGGCCTGGTTGCCCACGCAGCCTGCTGTTTGGTCATTACCAGGAGGGCATCCCAACCAATTTGCATATTACCCTTTTATTAGTATAGTTATGTATTTCTAGACTGCAAAGAGTCCTGGAAATTCTGACTTTCCACCAGTACAGTCTGAAAGTTGTTTAAGGGATATTATCTCAGAAGTCTTTGCCCAAAAGTCTGTATTTTGAAGTGTTAACAATTCAGAGTACAAGATATGGTTGTTTAGATGAGGCTCTGAGAGTTTGTTGAAGACAATTGTATCTGATACAGCCTTTAGGCAAGCATCAGAGTACAACAGAAACTACCTATGTATGACAATTACTAAATGGCTGCGTTTATTTCAGTAACCAGAAGAATGGAAAATAGTAAAATTCTTAATTGGAATACAGTACACAAATATTTCATAAGAGATCAATTAATGTTTTCCCTGAGTGCCTCTATATTTAGACTATGCTGGGATAAGTGTTCTCTCTTTGCCCCTGCCCCTCCCAGGGTCAGAGAGTGGGGAAAGAAAAGGAGTTCTGGAAAATTCTAGAGGCCGGTTTCCCAGCTCTTGTACTTCCTTGTTACCCCAAATTTGGATTGGGTAATTCTTTCTTTTTTGCTGAGCACTTGAAAGAAAGGATTTCTCTTTTGCTTCTTTGCTGGGATTGGCTTGTCTGCAATGCTTTGTATATGTTTACAACGTACTTATTATTCTCTTAAGTAAACTGGAAAAACAGCTCATAAATATTGTAGTATCGTGTTATCTTTCCCATTCCTTTTTAAAACTTGGTTTTTATTTTTAAAAATTGAACTTTAGGAAATCTTTACAGAAGTGAGAGTGCTTTCTTTAAAACTGTTTTTTCTGTTCTTGGTGACCTCATTCTGTCTTAAAGGAAAGTCCCCCTTAGTTGAAATGGTGTGTTAGCCTTAATGTGCTTTAGGAGCTTAAGAGTTTTTAAAATGTTTCTTTAATCTTATTGTGGAATCACTGCTGGTTTTAGAGCAGCTTTGATTTTTAATAAAGTATTATAGTTTCTAACAGTAAGTTTAAAAGCAGAAATTAATGATTTTAAAGTGTTTGAAAAAAACAGGTAACACATGCAGCTAAGACCTCTCTAGGAAATGCTTCCCTTTTCCTTCTATTGCCATTTAAGTTTGTTGGAATTTAAAAGGCGCTATAGAAGACTTGGAGTCAGGAGATAATGTATTAATGTTATGACTCCACTAATTTGCTCTATTTCCTCTGAGCTTCAGTTCTCTCATTTGTATAATGGACACGATAAAAAACACTTTATAAATTGCCAATGCTGTCTAGATGGCTATGCATGTATTCCCATTCCCTTTTTGAAAAAGCCAGTTCCAAAATCTCAGTAAGGAACACAAATAATTTTGTCTGTGTCTTTGTTGTCAGCTTACTATTTGTATTTTTTCAGGTTGATACAGGCAATACTGGAAGGGTATTAGCTTCTGATGCTGCCGCTTTCCTGAAAAAATCAGGGCTTCCAGACTTGATACTTGGAAAGGTAGTATTTATTTATTATAAGTAGATTATAATGAGTAGTTAGCAGTGTAGATAAATTGAATACAAATTCAGAAAGATCCCATTAAGAAACTTAGAAGTTAGAACTGAGTCATAGAGGCAGTTATAGTAATGCGATGGAGAGAATTTGAAAAGTAAGGTGTTTTTCAGATGTTTAGAAAACAAATTACATTTTAGTGGGATGAAATGAAGTAATAGTACATTTGGGTATTGTGGGGAGAAACAGTGCTGCCGACTGGGAACCTCGCCACCCACTCAGAGAGTTGGCTTTATCTCTACTTCCTCTATTATAACTGTCTCCAACTGTGCTTTGTATGTGGTGAATACAGTGGGGGGTGAGAGGCTTAAGAAAAAGCACAAAAAGGTGGAAAGTCCCTCTGCCAGTTTGATCTCCTGGCAAGTCCTTATACATGATATGTATTCAAAACCTTGAAAAACTATCATTAATAATTTAATTATTCACAAATAAACAACGTCTCCACTTTCCCATAAGGAAAGTATCATCTTAGTAAGGATCTAAAATCAAAATAGTATGTGTTGAGTAAAAAGAGCAAGAGATTTGGAGTTAGAACCTGGACTAATGAAAAGGGCATTGGATTGGAAGTTAAGAGTCTGGGTTTCAGTTCTTTTCATGATGCCTTAAATGTTCTTGAGTAACTTTAATGGCCTTAGTATTTGAACTAAATGGTCTTTAAGGTTTCTTTTCACTTTTAATTCTGTAATTCTTAAATGATTATCAAAGAGCACAAGGTTGTAAATTGCAGAGATTTAATTTATTTTTAAGATGATTGTTGTTTAAAATATAGATTGATACTTTTTTTCCTCTGAATTTCAGATTTGGGATTTAGCTGACACAGATGGCAAAGGTTTCCTGAACAAACAAGTAAGATTCATATGAAAAAAATATTTCAGTGATTCAAAATAAAAAAAAGCCAGCAGTTTTTTGTTTGTATATTTAAACTAAGAGTTGCTTTTTATCAAAATTAAGGTTTTGCAAGGGCAAATAACAATGAAAATATTTCTAATAAGACAATGAAAATACTTCTAATAAGTAGGCATTAAAGTAACTAATTTCCAAAGGTTAATGGTAGTTTGGTGACATTGTTCTACCTGAGTATCTTAGTATGTTCAGACTGCTATAACAAAACTAGAGGCCCAGCACACAAAATTCATGTGTGGGTACAATCCCTAGGCCTGGCCAGTGATCAGGGCCATCTTCCCTGGCTGCCCACAGCTGGCCCCACCCCCTGCCACCACCCACCCCCTGTTCCCCGTTCACCTTAGGGTGATCAGTGCCTGATGGCTGGGAGAAGGGACTGAGAGGTCAGCTGTTACCTCTCGCCGCACCACCCCTGCCCCTGCCATGGGATGCCTTCTGTGTGGAGCAGCCTGCGGGGTGAGGGCCTTGGCCTGGTGTCGCCAGAATCCACCACCCCAGGTTCCCTGTTCACCATCAGGCAATCAGCCTGCCAGCGGGGGAAAAGAACCAAGAGGTGGTCAGTGCACCTCATAGTGACTGGTCCAGTAGTCATTCTGATCATTCTGCCTTTAGGGTCAATTTGCATATTACCCTTTTATTATATAGGATTATTATATAGGATACCACAGAAATTATAAACAAATTTATTGCTCATTGTTTTAGAGGCTGGAATTCTGAGATTAGGGTGCTAACATGGTCAGGTGAGGGCTTTCTTCCTGATTGCAGACTTCTAGTTATATCTGCACTTGCCAGAAGGTGCTGGGGATCTCTCTGGAACCTTTTTATAAGGCACTAATCCCATTAATAAGGTTCCCCCTAATGGCTTAAGCACCTTCCAAGGGCCCTACCTCCTAATAACTTTATCTTTGGGGGTTAGGAATTGAACATAAGACTTTTGTAGGACACATCAGAAAAATAGCATGGATTTTTTTTCAGTCATTCAGAGATATTTTGTTCTTTATATCTTAATTAATTGAATTTATTACAGATAGTGGGTTTATACATAAACATGGATTTTATTAATTAAGTGTTAAGATGGTATGCCTCATACATTTGAAGGAAATTCTTGGCTGATCAAACCAGAGTATTCTGGTCTAGATCTTACCATTGACATATAAACCATAAAATGGTTTACAGGTTATGTGTAAATCCTAGACCAGGAATTTGTGAAAGTAATTATTGATGTTGGACATTATCAGTGTACTTTGAAGTTCTGATTGTTGGAGATGGATTTCAGAGTTCTTCAGGATTGGAATCAAAGCTTGCTACATGTTGATACATTAGTTGAGCACTGCTACTCAAAGTTAATACCCTCCTCTCCCTCTCCCCAGAAAAGCTAATACCCCCAAACCCTCATGGGGACTTGCTAAAGTAGGATCGAGATCAGAAAAGGGATGGAAACATTTTTAGAAGATCCTAATACCAAATCTCTTATTTAATTCATGCACCAGTGGGGTCCTTTGGCCTGGCCTTTGGAATCAGGCCAAAACCAGAATGTGAGAGGGCACAAGCCAGGCTCAGGAACCCTACCGGCACACAACTGGTGCATGATTGGGGCCAGGGAGGGATCGTGAAAGGGCTCCAGGGCACGCAGTCTCAATCAGCCGGACCCCAGCAGCAAGCTAACTTACTAGTCGGAGCATCTTACTCCTGGTGGTCAGTGTTACTTCAACATCTTTGCATTTATTTATTAAATTTTGGATTGATACTTCAAATGCCAAAAATCCAAGGACCTTTGGGAAAGATTTATAAGTGTTTTGAAGTCAAGAATAATCCTATATAATAAAAGGGTAATATGCAAATTGACCCTAAAGGCGACTGGTTGACTGTCTGCTCCCTGGTGGTCACTACACATCATAGTGAGTGATTGAACTGTCTTAGCATATAATTAGCATATTATGCTTTGATTGGTGAATGGATGACTGGATGATTGGATACTTAGCATATTAGGATTTTATTATATAGGATTCCAGGACTAGATTGTAGTCCCCATTGGAGCTCCTGGGCAGAAGGGCCAGTTTGGTACATTGGAGCCGTAGGAACACTAAATTCATTTGGGCACCCAGAGTCTGCACTCAAATATTGGTTGAGTATCTGTTTAGAGCCAAGCTTTGGAAATACAGATGTGGTTCCTATCTTCATGAGTTTACCATTTATTGAATTCTTCACTGATATTCCTGGACTTTGGATGCTGAGTTTAAGTTGTCTTGTTACATCTAGGTGGCTGGATTTATGGGTCTGCAGTTAAACTTTGATGTTTGCATTGGGAGAATGGTTTACTTAATTAACATGAAAGAAAGAAAAGAAACCTATACTTACTGAATTTCTATGTGTCAAAAACATAGGTGTTTCTATAGTATAGTTTTTATTTATTTATTTAAAAAATATTTTTAATTGATTTTTTTTACAGAGAGGAAGGGAGAGGGATAGAGAGAAACCTCTATGAGAGAGAAACATCCATCAGTTGCCTCTTGCACACCCCCTACTGGGAATGTGCTCACAACCAAGGTACATGCCCTTGTCCAGAATCAAACCTGGGACTCTTCGGTCCGAAGGCCGATGCTCTATCCACTGAGCCAAACCAGTCAGGGCAATATAGTTTTTATTTTGTTCTTCATAATAATTACAGGGTAGCTATTAGTCTCCCCTTTTATGGAAGAATTTTATTTTACTTGCCCATGGCCTTACAACTTTAAGTAGCAGAACTAGTATTTATTGCAGGACTATTTCACTTTAGAGTCCATCTATTCTTTGGCAGTGGACCAGATTACCTAAGTAATTGAATCTCACATAGAATGAGAAGAGAAAGAGAGTTAATGTTGGAATACCTAGAATACCAGCATTTAAAGGTTGGAGGATTTAAAGGTTGATTTCAACAGAAGAGACTTGGAAGGTCAGAGGAGTACTGAGAGATCTTTCTGAAGTTATCTTGGTGAGGGGAGGAAAGCTTCAGGGAAGATCATGCTTCCCAGACCACCAAAAGAACAAGTAGGAGGAGGCTCTCTCTCTTTTTTTTCTTTAAGAGCATTTGATAGCTAGGATGTTATTTGAGACATAGTAGTTTCTGTAGTTGAAGTCAGATGGCATAGGAGCTTGTGGAATGAATAAAAAGAGAAGGGAGATCTTAAAATAGCATTTTTAAAAAGAAATTTATGGTTGAAGGCAAGATATTGTATACAACAGATAACCTGCAAGTTTCTAAGAATAGGTTAGGAATTGGATAAAAAAGGATATAAGTGAGAATAGGTTTGAGAAAAGTAGTGAAGGATTGATTGTACCAGTAACTGTACTAGAGAGTATTGACAAATTGTAAGTTATATAGCTGGAGTCAAATATTTTGTCGTGGCTATTCCCAGACCCGACTTTAACTGAAAACAGCTGAACACCAGTTACTTCAACATCTTTGCATTTATTTATTAAATTTTGGATTGATACTTCAAATGCCAAAAATCCAAGGACCTTTGGGAGAGATTTATAAGTGTTTTGAAGTCAAGCAGTTATATAATTTTTTTTAGATGCTGCACAGTTATTCTCCTTCTGGAATAGCAGTGATTGAGTCACTTGAATGATTGACCCAGTTTCAAAAATTATAATCTTAAATCCAGAGATAACTTTTGATAACATTTAGTTATTTTCTTCTGGGCTTTTCTTTCAGATGCCTTTTCCTCATTTAAATGATAAAAAGTATTTCTTAACACCATTAAATATTCTTTGAAACATTATTACTAATTTCTAATTTCCACTATATTTATGTATCAGTATTTTCTCATTTTATTAACACTTTTTTTTTCTATTTATAATGTGGCAAACATCTTTGTACATAGATCTTTTCTCAATTTTAAAGCAAGTGTTATTCAAGCAACTGTGCTGTTATATGTTGCTACGTAAAAATCTTGGAGTAATTATGAATTATTTTGTATTTTCAAGTTATAGGTATGTCTGTGGATGGATGGATGGATGATGAATAGATAGATAATGCTCTAAAAGTCATACTTTTTCTTTCTCAGGAATTCTTTGTTGCTTTGCGTCTTGTGGCATGTGCCCAGAATGGACTGGATGTTTCACTGAGTAACTTGAACTTGGCTGTCCCTCCACCAAGATTTGTAAGAAATGCTTTTAAATTTAAATTTTCTTTTCTAAATTGCTGTATTAAAATAACTTCCCTCAACTCCTATTACCCAGCTACTTTTCTTTCATAGTGGTTACTACTTATTAGTTTCTTGTATGTCCTTCCAGAGTTATTATATGTGTATATAAAGAAATAATATCTATCTTCTCACTTTATATTTATTGTAGTATTCTGAACACACAATTTTATACCTTATTTTAATAACTTAATATGTTTTGGAGATTGTACATATCATTACACAAAAGCTTCCTCGTTCTTTTTTTATAGCTGCATTCTATTTCTTTATTTCTAGTCACCATAATTTATTTAACTTCCTTTTGATAGACTTTTAGCTTGTTTCTAACCTTTTACTTTAAAAAATGCTGCAGTGCATAATAACCTTGAATATATATTATTTTGCATATGCAGAAATGTATTTATATGTGTAAATTCTCAGAAATGGAATTGCTGTTTCAAAAGTTTGTACATTTATAATTTTCCCATATAATAATCTTTATAGTGGTTGCAGTTGTTCACAGTCCCATCATCAATTGGTTAAGTGCATTTTTGCTAACATACTGTTGTCAAACTTTTGGATTCTTGTTGTTTTGATAGGTGACAAATGGAGTGTAAGTGTAGTTTTCATTTGTCCTTTTGGTTTTATGGAATGAGGTTGAATAGTTTTCTCATGTTTATCATCCATTTACATTGCCTTTATGTGAAATGCCTATTTATAGTCTTTGCTTATGTTTTGTGGCTTTTGGTCTTTTTCTTATGGAATTCTGTAGGCTTTTTATATATAATATTAGGAAAACAGCTCTTTGTCTGTATGAGTTGCAAATATTTTTTCCCAGTTTGTCACTTGTCTTTTGACTTTGTTTATGGTTATTTTCTTCTATAAAGGTGTCATTGGTTTTTATGTATATTAATTATTAGAATTAAAAATTTTTATGGTTTCTTTTTTTCACTTTTATATTAGTCCTGATATAAGATATGTAAGGTATGAGTGTGGATTAAAATTTATGTTTTTTAAAGATGGCTACTTTACAGATCTAATGCAGTTTATTGATAATCATCTTTTTCTTTACTGATTTGAAATGCCTTTTCAATCACATAGTAAATTATCATCTGTATTTTGGGTGTGTTTTTTTTCTTCTTTTTTTTCTATTCATTGGTTTGTTTATCTATATGCTGTTCTAATGATCATATTTGATCATTTATTTTTATATCTGTTAGGGATAAGCCTCACCATCCTACTTCTTGTTTTCAGAAGTTTCGTGGCTCTTCATGTTTACTTTTAAATTCAGTGTTCTAGAAGTATTTGGTCTGAATATTATGAATTTAACTTTAGTTTTGAGAAATTTCTGCATTTCTGAGTTTAGGCTTAGAGTCATGGAATCAGAAAGATAATTTAGGGATTTGTTGCCTAACTATATTATCATAAAATTTATTCAAATATATTTATCTGTCTCTATAAGCAGATAGGTAGAATTAGTTGGGCATGCTATTGATAGGTTCATGTAATTGTAACTTATAAATCTTAAATTTGGTTCTTGTCCCTGTCAGTTTTCCTTAAAAGAGTGCTGAGAAAAAAATCATCAGTTAACAGGGCAATAAATATTTTTATTACATTCAGATATCTTTATCTTTATGTCAGTTATAATAGGTTTCTTAAGCTTACAATAGGTAATACTTAAGTTTTGTTTAGTGCTCCACAGTCATTTATGCAGTTTTTGTTTCATTTGTATTTAGATGGTCTAATAGAATTAATGTAAAATAGTCAATGTAAAATAGAGTATATGTATTTAATGAGATCTAACATTTTATACCATTGTATTTAAGTCCAAAGGCCTCTTTTTCATCATTGTTTATTGATGTGAGGATTTCAGCCCTTCATGTGCTATATTTTCTTTTTTCAGCATGATACCAATAGTCCCTTGCTAACTAGTGGAACTTCTGCCTCGGAGCTCCCATGGGCTGTAAAAGTAAGTAAACTTTGTAACTATTCTCTCTCACTCCTGCTTTTCTTTCACATCATCTCTTCCTCTACTTCCATAACATATTGCAATCTTCATTAGACTTTAATTTTTTACTGTTCAGGAATTACTGGTACTAGAAATCTGGAGGGGTCTTAAAGTTCTAGCAATCATTTTGTGACAATTAGTATTGGTTTTATCTCATTCCTGTTATCGTGTAAACTAAAAATGGTAACCTTGTACAAACTAAAATATTTGATGAGTATTTTACCCCACTGGTATGTCTAGTTTATCCTACTGATATTATGTCTGACTTGAAAATTCTGGTTAAATAGTACTGTTTTTAGAGCATAAAACAATTATTTATTCTTTCAAGAAATTATTTTCTAAGCTGAAACCGGTTTGGCTCAGTGGATAGAGCGTCGGCTTGGGGACTGAAGGGTCCCGGGTTCGATTCCGGTCAAGGGCTTGTACCTTGGTTGCAGGCATATCCCCAGTAGAGGGTGTGCAAGAGGCAGCTGATCGATGACTCTCTCTCATCGATGTTTCTAGCTCTGCATCTCCCTTCCTCTCTGTACAAAATCAATAAAATATATTAAAAAATATATATATATATATATTTTTTTCTAAAATGGATATTTTGCTTTATAGGTATTTGGAAACGTCACATTAGTTATAACTATCTTTTCAGATTAAAAATACAGTTTATTTACTTAAATAATTTTTAATTGATTTTAAATGGGAAGAGAGAGAGAAAGAAAGAAATAGATCACTTGTGTGTGCCATGACCAGGGATCGAACCCACAATTTTGGCATATTGGGATGATGCTCTAACCAACTGAGCTATCTGGCTAGGGCCTTATAGATTTTAAAAAACATAATTAAAAAATATTTTTAGCATATAGCAGATCAGTGACCTTCAACAAAAATATATACCGTTTTGCCCTGACCGGTTTGGCTCAGTGGACAGAGGGTCAGCCTGAGGATTGAAGGGTCCCAGGTTCGATTCCGGTCAAGAGCATGTACCTTGGTTGTGGGCACATTCCCAGTGGGAGGTGTGCAGGAGGCAACTGATCGATGTTTCTCTCTCATCGACGTTTCTAACTCTCTCCCTCTCCCTTCCTCTCTGTAAAAAAGGGATAAAATATACACACACACACACACACACACACCATTTTTTCAGAAAACTACTTTGGTTGGTCAATTTATGTATACTAGTGTGCTTTTAACTAATTTTTTAAAATATATTTTATTGATTTTTTACAGAGAGGAAAGGAGAGGGATAGAGAGTTAGAAACATCGATGAGAGAGAATCATCGATCAGCTGCCTCTTGCACACCCCCTACTGGGGATATGCCTGCAACCCAGGTATTATACATGCCCTTGACCGGAATCGAACCCGGGACCTTTCAGTCCGCAGACCGATGCTCTATCCACTGAGCCAAACCGGTTTCGGCTTAACTAATTTTTTAAAATGTAGGAATTTGGACTTGACAAATCAAGAACATAGTTTTTATGCTATTAAAAGTAACTTTTCAGGATTTTAGAAAATTCTTGTTATTGATAAGCTATCTTGCTTTGGGGGAAAGGGGGGAAACTTGATGTTTATTCCTCTGGAAGTGACTTTCTTTTTTAAAAGTGTTTGAGTTTAAAATGTGACTAACATCATGTTTAGAAAGTCATGAAATGTCACTACTAGCTGAGTGTTTTTATAAGTTACTTCCTTGCTGTGGATCTGTTTAAGTAAGAGGATTGGGCTAGGTGCCTTTCTTGAAGCCCTTCTTCTATCACTGAAATCTTGTGACTCTAATCTAAACAGAAAAGCAAAGATAGTGGTTCCGCTACAAAAGGAGTGGGGTGGAGGAACTTAAACTATCATTTACTTTAATATATTTTGATAAAAGTGAAAATATTTTTTAAACGATGAGTTTAAAAAATACACTGTCTGTTCTTTGAGTGTTTGATTTTTATAACTGCATTGCAATCCTTATCACCATTGTAATCTTTTTTATATTATAGTCTGAAGATAAAGCCAAATATGACGCAATTTTTGATAGTTTAAGTCCAGTTAATGGATTTCTGTCTGGTGATAAAGTGAAACCAGTGTTGCTCAACTCTAAGTTACCTGTGGATATTCTTGGAAGAGTAAGATATTATTAAATTATAAATGTAATTTTTATGTATTTTAATTTTGTATCTACCAGGAGCACTTATAGCTCATTGTTAAAAAATGCACAGATCTTATTTTGAAGTTGTGTTATAGAATTTTTCTGTGTTCAGACTTAATATATGAAATCATTGCCAATGTATTTATTTATTTGGTTATCTCCTAAGTTTTAAGTGTTTGAAATTAGCTAAATGTATAATAGAAATCTTTTAAGTAGGTCTTTTTTTTTCTTTGTGTTGTCCATTCTAATCTCTCAAATCCTTGACTTAATTTCCAGAGACCATCAATAATTTTCATCTGCCACCTATTCCATAGTTATATCATGGGGCTTTGTTATAAGGAACAGTTTCATTTCTGAAGTCATAAATTCTACTTTCTAACTAGAACTTCTTATTTTTCTAGAACTTTCCTAGATACTTGCAATACTACTTCTGTAACTTCATCAAGATCTTTAAATTTCGACTCCTTTACTTTCTCCATCTTTTGAATTTCCTTTTTTCCTCATCCATCTTGGATTTTTCTGGTCCATAGTTTCATGTCAGTATCCTTAGCTCCCTTTACTGTTTTTTTTTTTTTTTTTTTTTTTTATTGCATGGTGAAAATCCAGCTTTGTGTGAAGCTAATTATTTACCTTCTCTGTGGTTGCATATGGACTACTGAGAAAGTCTAATAAAAATAGGTATCATCATAATTTCATCATCATCAACTTTAGCTGGTTTTTCCTTATTGCCAACCACTCTTGTGCTGTTTCCATAGTGCTTTTTCTCCACCTCTCTTATATTTCAAAACTTACATACTCTCATTAAACCTCCAGTCCTTTCTTTTTTCTTTAAAAAAAAAAAAAATATACACACACACACACACATTTATTGATTTCAAAAAGGAAGGGAGAGAGAGTAAAACAACAATGATGAGAAAGAATCATTTATTGGCTGCTTCCTGCATGCCCCACACTGGGGATCAAACCTGCAACAAGGGCTTATGCCCTGACCAGGAATTGAACCGTGACCTTCTGGTTCATAGGTTGACACTCAACCACTCAGCCACACCAGTCGGGTTCCAGTCCTTTCTTTAATCCCTTGCTTAATCCTACTCTGTAGGGTCAAATCCTGGCTGCACCACTTCTTAGTTGTATGACATTGGGCGAATCATTAGAAAATCACGTCTCAGTTTTCTAATCTTTAAAATGATTATGATTTCATTTATAGCATATACTCTTTGAATGCTAACTACTATGCATTCAAACTACTATGTTGATGATAATGATAATGAAACCATCACACCACCAGCAGTGTTACTATTGGATCAATGTTGCATTGGTTAGGTACTCAATATATATTAATTTAAAAGCCTTTTATTGCTTCTTACGAATCATTTCTCCACAGTTGGGTCCAGTGTGAGATTTCTTTGCTTCTTCTTCTTTTTTTTTTTTTTTAATATATTTTATTGATATTTTACAGAGAGGAGGAGAGAGGGATAGAGAGTTAGAAACATCGATGAGAAAGAATCATCAATCAGCTGCTTCTTGCACAACCCCTACTGGGGATGTGCCCACAACCAAGGTACATGCCCTTGACAGGAATTGAACCCGGGACCTTTCAGTCCGCAGGCTGACGCTCTATCCACTGAGCCAAACTGGTTTCGGCAGTGTGAGATTTCTAATCTATAAATATAATCCTGTTATCTTTTTTTTTTTTTTTTTTTTTTTTTTTTTAAACATAAAACTAACCTCTTAGCTTTCCATTGCATTCAGGATGAAGTCCAAACTCCTTTCAAAGCATTTAGTTACCAGGCACTTACTTATCTCCACTCCTGTCTCATCAGCTCACTTTCTCTTCTTGCCCCCAAGTGAAATTTTGTTGAATGTTTAAATATCTTCTTCTCAAGGATTTAACATAATTTTGTAGCTGGTCTAAAGCTATGTAATTTATTGTAAATTTAGGCCAAATCTACCAGGGTCTTTCAGATTTTATTTTTCTTTGTAAGCCCTGCACATTAGCTGGCTGATGATTCATTACACAATATTCATTACATATTTCTTTTAGTTGATTAGAGTCTGTAGTGTAGGGAAAACGATATCGGACTTAGTTGGAAGACTTCACATTGAAAATTGATTCCTTTACTTATTAATAGTTGCCTGCTCCTAGGTAAGTCATGTAGTTTCATGTCTAAAACAGGAGCTGTTGCATAAATTAACTGAGATGATGTTTGTGAAAACATTGTAATTGTCTGAAAATACTATGTGCATAATAGTTTTATGACTTGAAAGGAAGAAAATAGTTTTAAAAATTTTGTAAGGGAATTTCTGTTTTAAAAATACTTAAGTGAATTATTACTTCCTTTTATAGTAATTGTTAATATAGCAAATAATAACGATATAATAAAATAATCAGCATAATTGAAATTTCTCAGAAAAAAATGTAATGTTTAGGCAAAACTTTTCCTCTATTTTTGTATTTGGTGTTTACATGTAGTACATTAAATGAAAGAACATTATCTTTCTCAATTATTTTCTTTTTAAGGTTTGGGAGTTGAGTGATATTGACCATGATGGAATGCTTGACAGAGATGAGTTTGCAGTTGTAAGTAACCTAATCATTTAAAAATCTTAAACGTCTGAATGGTTTTCTGAAATGGATATTTTCCTTTAGTTCATCCTTATAGGAAAACTTATTTCCCTAATATTGTTGGTATGAATATTTTTACCTAGAATTTGTAGATAATAAATATTTTTAAACAAATGGATAATAGAAAATATATGTGTTTGCTATCTTCATTTTATTTGACTTTAAAGTACATACAGATATATACTTTGGATGATGCACAGTAAAGATGCTGAGTAATGTTATCTTTTGTATCTCGACTTGACCAAGCATCACCGTACCTGCTTCTGCTCTGGAATAATTTCATTTCACATATACCCCCAGAATTTCACATTTGTTTCATTAAAGGAAGACATGAACAACACTTTAGCGTTGCTTCTTTGTAAAGCTGAGAAAGTTTTTATGTCTTTTCTGAAGACATGTTATCCTTAGTAATTGGACAATTAAATTAAAATAGAGTTATATTCATCTCTTTCTTAAAAGTTAGATAAAATTCTTCTGTGAACTTTATTTATGGTGAATCTCTAATTCTCCTTTTATCTCTTATTTGAATATTAGTCTGTTCAAATTTTCTTTTTCTTTTTGCTAAGGAATTATTCATTTCTTTGACTTTCAAACTTGTTGCCACAGATTTATTTGCATTATTCTTTTAATCTCTTCTGGGTTTATGATTGTATCTCTTTTTCATTCCAAATCTTATGTATTATTTTCTCTCATTTTTTGTTTAATTGAATTTTATCTAGTTTATTGATCTTTAGATAGAGATATGTTTTGGATTTATTTATCCTGTTACTATATTTTGACTTTTTATTCTTTTTAACTTTTCTCTTATTTTGTTAATCCTCAGCCGAGGATACTTTTTTATTGATTTTTAGAGAGAGTTGAAGGGAGAGGGAGGGACAGAGAGAGACAAACATCATTGTGAGAAAGACACATGGATTAGTTGCCTCCCTCAGGCGCCCTAAGAAGGGCTGGGATTGAACCTGCAACAAAGGTAAGCGCCCTTGATTGATTGGAATCAAGTCCGTGGGCCTGAAGGTCTCTATCCACTGAGCCAAGCCAGCTAGGGCTCAACTTTTATCTTAATTACATCTTCCTAATTTCTTTTCATTTACTTTTTAAAAAAAATTTCTGAAGATGAGTACAAAGTTTGTTTATTTTTATCTTTAATGTTCAAAGCATTTATGGAACATTTTTTACCTGAATACAGGGTTAGCTAGATTTTATATATTGTACAAAGTATTTTCCTTTTTACTACTTTTTAGATAATTTTTAGTTTTTTTTGATCATCTATTTAGAAATGTTTTCTACTTTCAAAGTATTTAAGTGTGTTTGGTTTTTGTCCCCTTTGTATATAATTTTAGCTGATTAAATTATGACTTGAGAATGTTTTTTAAAATCTCTACTTAAAAAAATTTTTGTTAAAGTTTCTTTTGTTGCTAAATTCATGACCTGTTTTTACATATGTTCTCTGACTAGACTAATATTTCTGTTCAGAATATTTTAGACTTCTATAAATCCACTACATTGATTTTACTATGTTTCAGTTTCTCTTTGTCTTTTTCTCTGCTATCCTGGAGTAAGCTTAAGTTTATTTTTGATATTTTTACATTTAAATCATTAATGTAAATTGCTTCTTAATTAAGTGTCTATTTCTAGCTGTGTAAATGCGTTTTAGTTTAAAAAACTAGTTACCAGCCAGATATTTTGTGTGTGTATGGTGCATTATTTGATTTGGTTGCTGTATTTATTTTGATGATGTACTAATTTTGATGGCAGACTTTGTTTAGGATAAAGTATAGTATTATAAGAAAACAAAGTCACAATCCAGCAGTATATTGTTCACTTTTTTTGTCTTATTTGGTAGAAAAATTGACTTCAGCTTTGTCAAAGAAACTATTTTCAAGGCAACATGAAATTAATAATATAGTATTTTTTTTACTTTCAGAAAAAATGTGTTGTCTATTGTCAGCAGATGGCTGACATTGCTTTTTTTGCTTCTAGCATTCTCTTTTCCAGGAAATGACTCCCATCTGCAGCAAGAGGAATGCTGACCCTTAATGATGTGCATGTTGGTCCCTTCTTTTAGTTTGGTGTCAATCTGACAATAGTACACATATTGTGTATTTGGTTGGAAGTATCTGCTAGCCAGATTGTTTCTTTCTGGAGTTCCAAGCTTTTGGAGATTGAAAATTTGAGTTTCTAAAACCGAAATTGAAAAAAAAAAAAAAAGTAAATTGAATTTTTTAAGTTGACTTGTGAATGGGGAGAAGAGAGTTGTTGTTTTGTATCAAATGGTTAAATGTGGTCTCAGAGTAAACAGCATCAGCATCACCTGGGAACGACTTAGAAATGCAAATTCTCTGGCTCAATTGCAGACTTTACTGATTCTAGAATTCTGGGAGTGGGGCCCAGAAATCTGTGCTTTATCAAACTGTCCAAGCAGTTCTGATGCCTGCAACAATTTGAATACCAATGGGTTAAAGGTTAGCTTTACTACTCAAAGAAGAGAGCACAGTATTGTAAAATTATGTGTACTCCTAATAAAGCTGATCAAACCTGGAAAAAAGAGTTTTGTAGCCCGAAGATCCTGGTTTGCGCTTTACTCTATCACTTCTTTAAAAATATATCGGACAAGTTACTATCATAGCCTGAGTTTCTTCATTTGCAAAATGATATTGGTAATCACAGAAATCATGGGTTGTATTAAGTGCTCAATGAGTATTGATTTGAAAGCTCCACAAAATTTAGAATTAAAAACCTATTTTGGGGAGAATTGCTATTTTTAATGGAAGAAAAAAAATTAAGAAGAAATATTAAAGTTTCCTTCCAGTTGCTATTTGAATACTTCGGGAGGTTCCAAGTCACTTTGAGTAATTTCATATGCTTGAAGATAGTTATGGAAATTTTTCATCTTTTGAAAGTATTGAAGGTGCCTTGGATTCAAAGTGGAAGGAATATCCTGGTACAGTCATTATGTAGGTTGTTTCACTTGATGCAAGTGCTTTATGTATTTAATAATTAAAAATAACTTTAGCCGAAACTGGTTTGGCTCAGTGGATAGAGCATCGGTCTGCGGACTGAAAGGTCCCGGGTTCGATTTCGGTCAAGGGCTTGTACATTGGTTGCGGGCACATCCCCAGTAGGGGGTGTGCAAGAGGCAGCTGGTCGATGTTTCTCTCTCAACGACGTTTCTAGCTCTCTATCTCTCTCCCTTCCTCTCTGTAAAAAATCAATAAAATATATTTTAAATAAATAAATAAATAAATAACTTTAATAGGTTCATTCTTATGATTCAGAAATCAGTACAATATAAAGAGGTAGTCAGTGGGGAGCATATCTCAGTCCCATCCCATTGTTGTCCTCAACTGCTCCATTTACACCTACTCCATAATGAACCACTTTTCTTAGTTTCTTCTTTATCCTTCTAGAGGTCTTAATGTAAATATTAATAGTTATTACCCCCTTAATACAGAATATGACACAGTATACATACTGTTCAACACTATAATTTTTTCATGTTTAACATTGTGTCTTGGATATCTTTTCTTAAAAGCCTATTTCTTTAAAAAGGTTTCAGACAGTTTGAAAAGGCTTTGTTATTGAATAGTAATCAATTCAGTGAGCTGATGATAGTAAATTATTTTAATATGTATGACTCTGGCTTATTTGTTTTGAAGGCCATGTTTTTGGTGTACTGTGCACTTGAGAAAGAACCTGTGCCAATGTCCTTGCCTCCAGCCTTGGTGCCACCTTCAAAGAGGAAAACGGTCAGTATATCAGGCTCTATGCGGTTGATCCCCACTTCAGCAGCAAAGGAATCTTACCACTCCTTTCCACGTGTAGGCATTTTACCTTCCAAAGGACCATTAAGACAGGTATAGATTTATCAGTGTTCAAAAACTTTTATTTAAAAAAAACAAGCTGCATGGCATTGAACAGTTGATTGCTTGATGAAGATAGAAGAAGCAATCAAAGGGATCAAGATTTAGAGCTCCCTTTTATTGAATCTGCATAAATGTGATGCCCCAAAGAAAATAGGTAATCCTGCATTTGACCTTATGGATAGTTCATTGGCTTTGACTTGATCTACCTAGAATTAAAGTTGGAGGTAGCAGATATTCTATACTAACCTGGAATGCTTGCCCTGACATAGTTAATACGTGTTTTTATTTGTCTAATCTCTAGTTAACTCTTGATTCTTTGGGTTCAAATTATCCAATTTTGGGTTATACAAGGCCTTTTTTCTCCTCCAACCTGCTTTTTGTCAGGTTGTATAAAGGAAAATAATGTCAGCCAATTTATATGTGGTTAGTAATGCTGAATGAAACTATAAAAATTGGAGATTGAGAATTATCTGAATATTTTGTTTATACAAACTTTCCACTTACCCATATTCATCTGGTCATAAGTCAAGAGTTAACTATGCTTGAATTTACTCGTTACTTAAAAAAAAAAAAAATGGGCATCTATAACTGTAGGCCCACTGACCTATATTTTTCTTCTGTAATTTTTAAAAAATATATATATTTTATTGATTTTTTACATAGAGGGAGAGAGAGGGGGATAGAGAGTTAGAAACATCGATGAGAGAGAGAGTCATCGATCAGCTGCCTCTTGCACACCCCCTTTTGGGGATGTGCCTGCAACCCAGGTACATGCCCTTGACCAGAATCGAACTCAGGACCCTTCAGTCCGCAGGCTGATGCACTATCCACTGAGCCAAACCGGTTTCAGCTCTTCTGTAATTTTTTGTTGACCACAACATTTTAGTCAGGGATCTGATGAAAATTTTATACTGTTGCTATTCTTAGTAATTAGAGTAAAATTGCCCAGAATTTGTGACAGATACTGTCATGTGTTGAAAGATGTCACTTCAAAGTTTGCTTTATTTTGGCAGAAATACTATATATGTGTGTGTGTGTCGTGTGTGTGTGTGTGTGTGTGTGTGTGTGTGTGTGTGTGTGTATATATATATATATATATATGTAAATATATATATATAATTTTTTTTGTGTAGTGGGTTGTATCACCTTCAGAAAAAGCTAAATATGATGAAATCTTCCTGAAAACTGATAAAGATATGGATGGATTTGTTTCTGGATTGGAAGTCCGTGAAATCTTTCTGAAGACAGGTTTACCTTCTGCCTTACTAGCCCACATTTGGTAAGACTTTGTTTAAATTGATTTACCCTGGCTGGGTAACTTATTGGGTAGAACATTGTCTCAATACACTAAGGTTGAAGATAGATTTGATCCCAGTCAGGGCACATACAAGAAACAACCAATGAATGCATAAATAAGTGGAACAACAGATCAATGTTTCTCTCTTTCTCTCCCTCCCTCTTCCTTCCTATCTCTCAAATTAATAAATAAAATTTTTAAATTGATTTTAAAAACATATGGTTTGTGTTAAATCTAGTTTTGTGCATTCTTTTAAGTATTCTTTTTTCAAAAATATATATTTTATTGATTTTACAGAGAGGAAGGGAGAGAGATAGAGAGCTAGAAATGAGAGAAACATCGATCAGCTTCCTCCTGCACACTCCCCTCTGGGGATGTGCCCACAACCAAGATACATGCCTTTGACCGGAATCGAATCTGGGACCCTTGAGTCCACAGGCTGAGGCTCTATCCACTGAGCCAAAATGGTTTCGGCGTTTTGTGCATTCTAATTTTTAGGCATTTATCAATAGGAAATTTATTTATTTGTTTATTTTTATTTTTTAAAATATATTTTATTGGTTTTTTACAGAGAGGAAGAGAGAGTGATAGAGAGCTAGAACATCGATGAGAGAGAATCATTGACCAGCTGCCTCTTGCACACTCCCCACCGGGGATGTGCCTGCAACCAAGGTACATGCCCTTGACTGGAATCAAACTCCGGACCTTTCAGTCACAGGCCGATGCTCTATCCACTGAGCCAAACCGGTTTCGGCAATAGGAAATTTTTTGTTTCAGAATTCTTTATAGAAAAACTGAGGCTTTCTTCTGGAGAAGCTGGAGAATGGGTTACCTGACATTTTATGTCAGTTAATTGTTATTAGAATGTTAAAATGCAGCATCTATATATAACAATTAAACTTAAAAAAATTTAAATATTTTTTATTGTTTTTAGAAAAGAAGGGGGAGAGAGAGATAGAAATATCAATGATGAGAGAGATTCATTAATCTGCTGCCTCCTGCACGCCCCCTACTGGGGATTGAGCCCACAACCCCAGGCATGCTGGCCAGAATCACACCTGAAACCTCTCAGTCCACAGGCTGATGTTCTATCCATGGAGTCAGACCAGCTAGGGCAAACTTAACTTAAAAAAATAAATATTTTAATTGATTTCAGAGAGGAAGGAGAGAGGGAGATAGAGATAGAAATATCAATAATGAAAGAACCACTGATCTGCCACCTCCTGCATGACCCCCATTGGGGATGGAGCCTGCAACCATGGCATGTGCCCTTGACAGGACCACAGGCTGACGCTCTATCCACTTAGCCATACTGGCTAGGGCCATCTTAAATTTTTAAGGGAGAATACAAAATTTGTATTTAAAGTGTTTTTAAGGCATATTTGTACAATTCTTTAGGACATATGTATACATTTATACATTGGAATTACATACTTGGTCCTTAAAAAAGACAAGCCTTGCCCTGACTGGTGTGTTCAGTGATTAGAGCATTGGCCCATGTACCAGAGGGTTGAACAAAGGAGGACAGTAGATCTACCTTAAAAGGAACAAGAACCCAAAACTGGAAAAAATTATATGCATAACTAAGCATAGCTGCCACTTTTGAGTGCTTAGGCTAGGCACAATGCTCAGTAAAATGGCAGCTGTCATGGCTGTGGCATTATACCCACACTTTTTATGTGCTTTGTCTTTAATTCTCATAGTAATCTTGCGAGATGGATGTTATCTCCACTTTATACATGAAGAAATTAATGCTCAGAGAGGTTAAAAATTTGGCTAAGATCACAAGAATAAATAAGTACAAAAGCTGAAATTCAATGTTTCTTTGACACTGTAACCTATAACCTGTAGTCTTTTCGTCAGGCCATATTCGTTTTCAATGAATCAAACAGATCAGGACTTCTGAAAGCTAAGCTTAAAAAAAAAAAAAGAAAGAAAGAAAGAAAGAAAAGAAAATAGAATAAAACATTTGCTGTTTCTCAAGTGATTTTGTAAAGCTTTCCAGATTGCTGCCTTTCTTCACATGTGATCTCCATTTGCAGCTGTTGTTTCTGCTTTGACTTGGTGATCCTCCTACTCCGAGTTGCAGGAAGCAAGCTGACATGGAAGTTTTTGCTTGTTTTAGAATCATTCTAATACCACTAATGAACCAATTTTGTTGAAACTTACGTTTTATTTTTTTTAATGTCTTTTAAAAATATATTTTTTTGATGTTTTACAGAGAGGAAGGGAGAGGGAGAGAGAGTTAGAAACATCGATGAGAGAGAAACATCAATCAGCTGCCTCCAAGGTACATGCCCTTGACTGGAATCGAACCTGGTACCCTTGAGTCCTCAGGCCAATGCTCTATCCGCTGAGCCAAACTGAATGAGTTAGAGCTCATTCTTTTATATCTTTTAATGTTGAAATATTGGGAATAGACAATGTTTGGATTCTTTGGTCCAGTACAACTCTTACTCAGTAGGTGTTGTGGAAATTGATGAGAAAAAGTACAAAACAAACCCAGATCAGAGGCCTTTGCTCAGCACCAGGACCAACATTCTATCTGTCTCAATCTATTTTGTTCTCTTGCTTCTAACGTTTGTGTGAGTTTTGGGCAAGCCATAAATTAGTATGACCTTTTTAAATTCAACTAATCATTTTTAAATAGCTACATATTAATAGTCATGTTAGATTTTTAGAGTGGTAATTGTGGCATTATATACTGTTCATTTTGTTTTTATTTATACAGGGCATTATGTGACACAAAGAACTGTGGGAAGCTTTCAAAGGATCAGTTTGCCTTGGCTTTTCACTTAATCAATCAGAAATTAGTTAAGGGCATTGATCCTCCTCATATTCTTACTCCTGAGATGATTCCACCATCAGACAGGGCCAATTTACAAAAGGTAAGACAACTTACAAGAAAACCTGAATGCATTAACAGAAAGGAACAAGACCTATGTCAGATGGCAAACTCGATTTGGACCGAATGGTGGAGAAATATATCTGGCTAGGAGCAGAAGAGTATTCTGTTTGTGGTTTAGTTTGTGACTATAGATAGGATGAATGCATGTATGACATCCTTGGGCTGTCTCTTGTTTACCCCATCATTCATCACACTTGTTTGTTTATGTCGGATATCAGTACAGTTCATCAGTACAAGTGGCGACCACATTTTTCAGTCTCAAAATTAGAAAAATGTTTTATTCTTCCCCTCCTGGATCTGTGGATTAATTTTTATGAATAAGGTATAAAATTCGAATGAAATTCTAAGAATTAAATTATTGGGTTTCATTTGATTACTCTTACAAAACAATATAATTTTGAAAACAAAGTCAAGATTATAATTCCTTGGTATCAGTTTTAAATTTAATAAAAACTAGAAAAAACATTTTATTGTGAAGAAATCTGTGTTTTTTACCATATAGATGAACCTTTGTTCCTGAGCAGACAGCCGAGTTTCATACCCGTACAGCTAGGAACAGGTTTTGCCGTTTTGTTTTCTGGCCAGCAGTAGGAGCTTTCAAAACTACATTGTTTAGCCATGTTGTGTCTTGGTTTTTCTCTCAGCTATAAGCCCTTCAAGTATAATGCAGTTATGATATATTGGCCTTAAAAGAGCTTTAAAAGGATTTGCTGTTAAAAATACATTCTCTGAATCTGCAAATTTCTTGTGACCTATAAAGTAACTATTGCTGTGATTATAGTTGTTAAGTGTGTGGTATTAGGAAAGTATTCTTTAAAATGTCAGTAGAATATTTTGGTTTTGCATTAATTTTGTCATATAGGATGAAAAATCTCATTTAAACAAATCTTATTAAAGTCAAATTGGATATTTTCTAAGTCATCTAAATGGAAATTTATAGCCACCAGGTACAAAAGTTGGTTCTAAGAATTGTTATTCTTATTTTTAAGTAAAATAAATATTTGATTATCTGCTTTGTGAGTTTTTTGGGGGGAATATTTTATGAATTTTTTGACATTTCTTATGATGTAGGATCCCCTGAGTTGTGGAGAAAGGCTAAAAATGATGCCATCTGTAAAGATAAAATGTTACAAATCTGTACTGATGCCCTCTGCTATAATTATCTCAGTTCTGGAATGACCTTTTCACCTTTTTTTCCCCTTAAATAGACTGTTTTTTCCTCTTGCTGCCATCATTTTATACCCACTCTCCCCCAACACAAATTACAGATATGAAAGAATTTGCTAAAGCAGATTATGTTGTTCATTGAAGTCTCTAAAACATTACTAAACACTTCAAGTTCTATCTTCTCTACAGAGTTTTTAATATAACAGATTTGTTTGAAGTCCATTCACTGGAGTATAGACACACTTGTTTGTTTATGTCGGATATCAGTACAGTTCATCAAAATGGGATATTTCACTGTTTCTTATCTATTAGCCAAAATTTTTAACCTTAAAAGTTAAAATTAGCATTTGTTTTGTTTTTCAAATAATCTCTCTTCTCTTAATAATCTGATTATTTTTTAGACTTGCTTTTTTTTGTGTGTGTGTGTGTGTAGCTGTGATTAATTCTTTTATCAATGTTGCTTTCCTTTCTGTATTTTTTTGAGTTTGGACTACTTTCTCCATTCTGCAGCACTCTACTTTTTGCCTTTCTTGTACTGTCAGTTTCTTTACTTTCAAGTTAGAGCTTTACTTTGTCTTTTTAGCATTGCAGTTTTTGGTTTACAAGATACATTTTGAAGTTAGAGGGGTTTTTTGCAGCAAACTTGATGCAGAGAAAATACTTCAACAGTATGCTTTTGTCCCAGGTCATCACTTGGTTTTTGTGTGCATTTTACTTCCTTCCCTAAGCTCTCTAATCAACTTAAACGCACCAAAGTGGAATTTTTGTGTGTAGTATAAAACAGGGTGAGAGAAAATATTTTGAAAGAAAGGGATGTGCTACATTTTTCTTTATATGCCATTCTTATACTTCATAAAATGTTTAGCTGGACTTTATGCTTCCTGGTTGCATGTCATTTTATTGCTATAGTATGGGTGTTTAATTTTTGTGTCAGCAACTGAGGATTGACACAAGCTGTGTACCAACTATAATATACTCATCTTCCTCTGTAGTCATCTGTGGTTTCACCTTTTAACTTGTTTGATGTTAAAATTGTTATTCTCACTCTTCTTATTTGATGATATTTTTAACAGTGATGACTGTTAGGTGTGAGTCACTCTTTTTGTGTTAGGATGATGGAAGAGGTGTGGAAGTTATTTCACAAAGAAGATTGAGCCAAGGTGGAAGCAGCTCATTGGGAGGCCATCCATCTTTTAAGAGCATCTTCTATTGATGAAGTTAATTATAAGAATAGCTTACATTTATAAAATATAAAGTTTATGGAGTGACTTCACATGTAATATTTAATTTTTAAGGTGGGCAGGGCAGAAATTATTTCTCTATTTTACAGTGAAGATCATAGCAGAACCAAAAATAAATCCAGCTAGATTTTCTAACTGCAAGTACCATTCAGAGACCAATTTTGACACTTTCATTATTGAAAGAGAATCATATGTAAAGGCTGTCTTATATGAAGACAGTTTAATACCAACTATGGAACATGCCTGAGCAGTATGTTTTACTTTAACTAGAGTAGTCACTAAAGTATTTAACAAAAGCAAATATTTGTTGAATTGAGTAAAATTACCACCATTGTAATTCAGATACTCAATAAAAGTTTGTGTACTGCCGAAACCAGTTTGGCTCAGTGGATAGAGCGTCGGCCTGTGGACTGAAAGGTCCCGGGTTCAATTCCGGTCAAGGGCATGTACCTTGGTTGTGGGCACACCCCCAGTGGGGGGGTGTGCAGGAGGCAGCTGGTCGATATTTCTTTCTCATCTATGTTTCTAACTCTCTATCCCTCTCAATTCCTCTCTGTGTAAAATCAATAAAATATATTTTAAAAAAATTTGTGTACTAACTGTGCCAGATGATACAATTACAAATAAATCAGCCTTCATCTCCACAAGAAATATATACTTCAGTGGAGGAAATACTTTATAAATCTGATATCTATCCTAGCTGGTTTGGCTCAGTGAATAGAGTATCAGCCTGTAAACTGAAAGATCCCGGGTTTGATTCTGGTCAAGGACACATGCCCAGGATCCAGGCTCTATCCCGAGTAGGGAATGTGCAGGAGGCAGCTGATCAATAATTCTCTCTCATCATTGATATTTCTATCTCTTTTTCCCTCTCCTTTCTAAAATCAATAAAAATATATTTTTAAAAAGATTTAAAAAATATAAATCTGATATCTATTATACTGCAAAGTATTGGACAGGCTAGGATCAAATGACAAAGTCATTGGGATCTGAAGTGATGGTACCTAATATAGAACAATAGGTTAGAGAATTTAAGAGAAAATGTCTTGTATATAATTGAGTCTGTGTTTAAAAATTGCACTAAATATGGTGTTCTTAAATGAATTCAAATTGTTAGTAATACCATAAAAAATGTAATACCCTATATGCATGTAGTGCTTTTAAACATTTTAAATGCCTTGCCATATGTAATTTTATAGTAATAATCTGTAATTGTAAACTTTTTGTTTTTAGAACATAGGATCAAGTCCTGTTGCAGATTTCTCTGCTATTAAGGAGCTAGACACCCTTAACAATGAACTAGTTGACCTACAAAGGTACGTAAAGTAAAATTACAGATGACTTCATAAATTATCTCTCTCTCTTTTCCTCCTTTCTTTTTCACTCCCTCTCTCCTCTCTCTCTCCTTCTTTCTCCCTCTCCCTTTCCCTCTGAAATCAATAAAAATATATTTTAAAACAAAACAAAATAAATGTAAGAAGTATTATTGATTTTCTTAATTTTTGTATTCCCTGGAAAATTTATGGCAATATTCATTGTAAAAATAGACCTTTTAAAATTACTTTTTTTTAAAAAGTGAGAGAATTTTTCCATGTATAAGGCATTGTATTTAAATATCACTGTGTTTACAAAAACTCTATTTTTCTTTACTTTCAAAACACTTTGATGCAGATAATGACTGATACTTTATTTTATTGATGGTGTTGAGACATATGTAGTTAAATAATTTATCTGGACTATATGGCAAGAACTTGGCAATGATCTTTCCTTATCCATGAGACTATTTTGAGATTGTTGTAGAAAAACTTGGTTGTGATTTTTTTTTCTTTCCAGTTGCAAGAAAGAACCAACCCCGTCTAACTTAAGTGAGAGTGAATTTATTGACTTTTGAAATTAAGACCTCTTAGAGGTAGTGATAGCTTTATACTCGGACTCAAATAATATAATCAGTTCTCTTGTTCTCCCAATTTCTTTTTTCTAAAATGTATTTTTATTGATTTCAGAGAGGAAGGGAGAGAGAGAGAGATAGAAACATCAGTGATGAGAGAGTATCATTGATTGGCTGCCTCCTGCATGCCCACACTGGGAACCGAGCTTGCAACCTCAGCATGTGCCGATTGGAATCGAACCTGGGACTCTTTAGTCCGCAGACTGACACTCTTTCCACTGAGCCACACTGACCAGGCCATTTCTTTTTTCTTTTCTAAAAAATATATTTTTATTGATTTCAGAGAGAGAAAGAGAGAGGGAGAGATAGAAACATCAATAATGAGAGAAAATCACTGACTGGCTGTCTCCTGCACACACATACACACACACACACACACCCCGCTCTGGTGACTGAGCCCACAACCCTGGTATGTGCCCTTGATGGGAATCAAACCTGGGACCCTTCATCCTCAGGCTGATGCTCTATCCCCAGAGCCAAACCAGCTAGAATTGCTCTCTTCATTTCTTGTTTCCACTTCCCTTGGGTTTGATCCATTCTCAGATGGATTTTCCTATTATATTGTCAAGGGGGCTAAAGCATACGGTACTTAGTCTCATCCTATATAATAAGAGTAATATGCAAATTAATCATCATTCCACTGCACCCAGCAGCCACGCCCACCAGCCAATCAGAGTGAGTATACAAATAAACCCAACCAAGATAGCTACAGCCACAGAGAGCAGGAGGGAGGCTTGTGTTTCCCAGGCAATGGAGGAAGCCAAGCTTTCCGCCTGCCCTTGACAGCCTAGACCTCCACTCAAAGCTACAAAGTTTCAATTATAGAAGGTAAACAAATCCAAACAGAAATGGAGGGAGCAGGAGGCTTGGCTCCCCTCTAGGCTACAAAGTTTCAATTGTAGAAGGTAAATAAATACCAGATACCATGGCCTCCACTTGGGTCGCCAGGGGGTGTAGCCGGCCTGCAAATCACCACAGGCCCCTCAGGCCACTCCATGCTTCAAGGGAACCCCCAGCCTGATCCAGGACACTTTTTAGGGCAAACCAGCTGGCCCCCACCCATGCACCAAGCCTCTATCCTATCTAATAAAAGAGTAATATGCAGATTGACTATCCAACACACAATAGCTGTCCCTGTGTGAATACAAGCTAGCCACCATGTGGTCAAAGATCCTGCCCCCATCTGAATATATAAGATGGCCAGCAGGGGAGGGCAGTTGGGAGGCACCAGGCCTGCAAGAAAGGGCAGTTGAGAGGGACCAGTCCTGCAAGGAAGGGCAGTTGGAGGTGATCAACCCTGCAGGGGAGGGCACTTAAGGGGTGACCAGGCCAGCAGATGAGGGAAGTTGGGGGCAAACAGGCTGGCAGGGGAGCAGTTAGACATCAATCAGGCTGGCATGGTAGTGGATAGGGGGTGATCAGGCTGGCAGGCAGAAGCAGTTAGGGGCAATCAGGAAGGCAGGCAGGTGAGCAGTTGAGAGCCAGCAGTCCTGGATTGTGAGAGGGATATCTGACTGCCCGATGGGATCGGGCCTAAACCGGCAGTCGGACATCCCTCGAGGGGACCCAGATTGGAGAGGGTGCAGGTTGGGCTGAGGGACACCACCACCAACCCCTTTACCCCCTGCTCAAATTGTGTGTACCGGGCCTCTAGTGTACTTATAATTCCAAATCTAGTGAGGTGTCTCTCTTGTGGCAGTTCCTGGAAAAGTCCTCTAAGATTTAACCTGATTGTACTGGCTTAGTGCCATGCCCACCCCTGAAACAATTGGGTGAGGGACGTATATACTGGAGTTTGATTTTTCATGAATTCTGTCCTGGGAGTGGTAGGTGGTAATTTGTCACTGATACCATATGAAGTAGAGGAGATGGTATCCCCACATGAAAATTCTGCAAGATGGAAAAATGCATTCTGGGGAGGTAAATGTCTATGGAAGACAGTATAACTTTAAATCACTATTAATTTCAGTGATCAGCCTCTTTGAACAATATGACTTGACATTCTGTAAACAGTCTGGGTACCTTTTAAAATGTCATTGTATTCAGCACATCTGCCTTCTACCAAATTCTTAGTTCCTGCTAATAAATTGGCCTATTACATAAGCCTCTGATCTTGGAAGTAAAAAATAAAGCAAAAGAAAAAACCTCTTGGCTATCATATAGTCCCACTTTCTTTCTTACTCATGAAAAAAAAAAGTCAAATCCAAATTCACACATCAAATCATCAATCATGCTGGTTGTATAAGTTTCACTTCTGTATTCTTCCTATTAGTCTGCCTCTCATTAAGATTTAAAAAGTTTTTACTGTGGTTCGGAATAGGAGAAGTAAACATTTTATTACTGAATCTGTAATGGTGCATAGACTTTTCATGATCATTGGTCCATAAATGGCCCACTAATATATATTTTTTTGCCTTCTAGGTAATATATATTAAATGTTATCTAGATTAAAAAAAATGTTATCTAGATTTAAAAATACTTGTCTTCTATGCCTTGTAGGCTTATGAAAATGGACACCAGTATTCTACAACTTGTTTGACTTCAACAGTAGTTATTTAACACATGAAATGTTCTATTGTGTGTTTTAGTAGAAAGTAGAGCATCATACATAAAATGTTCTTGCCAGTGCAGATATTTGCAATTATTAATTACATTTTGGTCAACTGAGCTTTCACTAACTTTTAGTAACCCTAATGTTAAGTTGTACTAGTGGCAATATTATTTAGTGAATCCCAGCTAACATAAAAACATATCTAACATTTTGTGACTGTCTTACTAAGAAATCATATAGCTCCAAAACCTTTTTAGGTTTTAAATTGTAGTCATCCTATTTAATAAAGAGGGGATATGCTAATTGACCCTCATGCCATTGCAAAGATGGCAGCACCCACAGCCAATAAAGAGGGAATATGCTAATTGATACCTCAAAGATGGCAGCACCCACAGCCAATAAGGAGGAAATATGCTAATTGACAGCCATACCCTCAATGATGGCAGTGCCCAGCCACAAAATGGTGGCACCCAGTCCCTTCAGCCTGAACTTGCTATGCATCTACCTCTGGAGTCCCCCAGTCTCCTCAGTCCCCCAGCCACCCATGGCCCGCCCAAGGCACAGACAGCCTTGGATGGTGGCTGCCCAGCATCCCAGGGACCGCCAAGGCTCAGGTAACCAGTTGCCTGCCGAGGCTTGTGCTGCCAGCAGTGGCAGCAGCAGAGGTGTGATGGGGCGTTGCCTTCCCCTGATTGCCGAGTCACCTCCCACCCCTGAGGGCTCCCAGACTGTGAGAGGAGGCAGGCCGGGCTGAGGGACCCCCTCCCAGTGCATGAATTTTCATGCACCGGGCCTCTAGTGTTTTATAAATGTAGAATACATGATTTGACATTTGTGAAAATACTTTCCCTAGGTTTTTATTTAGGTGAGATCTACAATGTAGATAAACTTTCATCATCTGTCAATTCCAGTCATCATGAGACATATCTACCCAGCTAAAATTATGATTGTTAAAATTCTCTTTTATAACTGTTTGTATTAGGTGACTAATTCCTTCAACTTTTGCTGCATAGGGATTTAAGTATGTCATTCAAGTTAAATTAGTATGATATTTTTAACTTAAAAAAGGAAAAGCAAAGATAGTAATGTAATAATCATATCAAATACCTACATCTCTCACCTGAGCATTTATATTTTTCCTTGCCAGTGTTTTCATCTGAATATCTAGTAGGATATGACTTTCTAATGTTTCCCTGACCACTTTCGTTATCTCTTTTATTTCCCTTTCTCAGTGACATCACTGTTCATCTAGTCACTCAAACTACAAACTTGAGATTTTTCTTCCTCTCCTCCTATTCTTCTATCTTGAAATGTTTCTTGAAATCATTCCCACCTTCCCATTTCCTTTGCCTTATTAACTCTTCCTCATTCTTCAAATCTCACCTTAGACATAATTTCCTCCAGAAGAAGAAGCCCTCTCTACTTTTATGTCCCAAACCTGCACCTGTCAAATCTTATGTAACAGCCTATTATTGTACTTGGTCTTATACTTACTGTACTTTATTATAATTTCCTATTTTGTTTAGATTTCTCACTAGACTACTTTTTTAAGCATAAGGACTATTTGCTTGTATTGCTTAGCTTACGTAATAGAAGAGAAAATAATTGGCTCAATTTTGTTGAAATATGTCCATATTTTCTCTGTTTCTTAGTTTTAGCCTTTATCTCTTATCTGGACCACTCTTATAATTTCCTAATAGACTCTCTGCTTTGGGTTGCTTGACCATCTTACCTCCAATCCTATATAATAAAAGCCTAATATGCTAAGTATCTGGTTGACCGGTCAGCTCTTCAACCAAATCAAAGCATAATATGCT